ACCTATGAACCAGGAGATCATGGTTCGATTCCCTGTCAGGGCATATGCCAGGGTTGCAGGCTTGATCCCCAATGATGATTCTCTCTCATCATTCATGTTTCTATCTCTCTCTCCCTCTCCTTTCCTCTCTGAAATCAATAAAAATATAAAATTAAAAATAAATAATAAAATAAAATTATTTAAAAAAATAATCTAAGCTCTGCTTTTTTGTTTTTGAGACAGATGAAGTGATCGAGAAGAAACACTGAACACCCTTATTTTGGAGACAGGGCACTATGGACTGTGAATTTACTGTGAATTCTCTGGTAGGTAGCACCACCTGATATTTTACATATGGTTGGAAAACCCAAAAAGGGGAACGGAAACAAACCAAATGTGAAATGAATCACAGTTACTTCAAGTAGTTTAGCACTTGTCATTTATCATCCATCTGTGTGGCCCCCTCCTTTAAGGAAGTGACTAATAAAGCCATCTTTGCTAGAATTAAAAATAATTTTTTCCACATGATTGTAAAGTGTTGCTTTGTCCGGTTAGATTCCAGAAGTGCAGTCCTTTAGCAGAACACACTATTTGAGAAGAATTTCAAAGCTGACTTTGCAGCAGGTCCATCTACCACTTCATTTGGGCCTCAGTTTTGTAGATAAAATGTGGAGGCTTACCTTGTGTGGTAATGACCGAGGAAAACATTTTATGGTTAACACCTACGTGTTGCTTTGGGATCTTGTGTAAATGTCTGCATTCTTGGAACTCTTGTTTTTCTCACTTTTCCACTTTCAGCTCAACACCGTGCACATTTTCTCTAGTTACATCTTAGAGGAAGCGTGTGCAGGAGAGGAAATAACAGGGGTCTTGGGGTCACATGGGTTTATTCTGTGTCCCAGATCAGTCTTCGAGCGTGAATATAGGCACATTATATAATCCCCATGGCCCTGTTTTTGTACTCTGTGCCTTATGACAATTGGAAACAATATTTTTAATGTTCCCAGCCTGTCGCAGGGGCTTGATAAGTGGAAGTTATCATTATTATCATTACCTACCCTCCTCCTGATGACCCTCCCCAGCCCACTCACTGCAGCCCTGTGGGTAACCCTGAGAGCAGCAGTATATTGCATACTCTCTACACACAACGGGTCCAACTTATGAGGAGTGAAGGAACATTAAAAATATTGTTTCCAATTGTCATAAGGCACAGAGTACAAAAAAGGGCCATGGAGGTTATATAATGTGCCTATATTCACACTCAAGACTGATCTGGGAGACTGATATGTCTCCTTTTCCCTTCTGCTCTAAATTGAATTGGCTTCCCCACCCAGTCACAGGAGGGATAGCTGGAGGCCTCCAGGGTGGGAAGCCCAGGCCCTGAGAGCATCCTTGGGAAGAAAGAAACAGGGAGGAGGAAATGCACCCACCTGTAGGCCGAGTCAAAAGAGTGATAGAAAGTGCAAGAGGCATAGCCTGCTTTGGACTTCATGTGGCCCTGGGAAACCCAGTTATGTATGGCTCTCTGGTTATATATTAAACCTCTAGAAGCAAGAGTCATTCCAGGTCTCTAGGATTCTATCTGCTATAAAATTACCACCCAGGTAGACCAGATGGCTTTGGGAAAACTCAAGGGATCTAATTCACTGCACCTGGCCCCTAAAGACTGGATCAGTAATTCATGGCCAGACTAAAACTATGTCTACTTTGATTTCTTTTTAAATTTTCTACAGATCTTAATCAAATGCTCTGCCCACACCGTAGTGAGACTTGTAACCTACCCTCTGACAAGCTGAGAGAGACTTGGGATGCTAAATTTGTTCTGGGCTAACTCCATTCTTGGGGCATCAAAAGATGGTAGAGTGGTCTAAGGTAATGCTTCTCAAACTGTAACATGCATCAGGGCCTCTGGGAAACTGGTTACAACTTCAAGCCAGTCTCCAGAGACTTTGAGTCTATGGAAATGAGGTGGGGCTGGTTAGGAATTTGCATTTTTGAGAAGCCTGGTGGATGCCGATGCTGCTGGTACAGGGAAGCACTGGCCTAAAGCAAGGGTCAGCAAACTGTGGTCTGAAGGCCCAATTCATCTGCTTGTTTTTGTCAATAAAAATTTGGAACAGAGCCAGGATTGTTTTGTTAAATACTATGGCGTGTGGCTGCTTTCACACCAGCACAGCTGAATGGCTAAGGTGGAGACAGTGTGGCCCGCAAAGCCTAAAATATGTGTTGTATGGCCTTTAACAGAAAACAAACAAAAACTTGCTGACTTTTTTGCCTTTCTGAAGCACTTTCTCCCGAATAATTGAATTATTACCTTGAATGTGTATATGCTGTGTTTTCCCAAATGTGCACGGATGCTGTTTTTATTAATAAAATGCAAATATATTCATATCACTAACTTTTTATTAGTAATTTTTTATTATTTTTGCAGTCAGGGACGACTTACTGTAATTACTATTATATGGAGGTCTGAGAGTCTTTCTTTTTTTCAAATATATTTTATTGATTTTTTTTACAAAGAGGAAGGGTGAGGGATAGAGAGTTAGAAACATCGATGAGAGAGAAACATCAATCAGCTGCCTCCTGCACACCCCCTACTGGGGATGTGCCCGCAACCAAGGTACATGCCCTTGACCGGAATCAAACCTGGGACCCTTCAGTCCGCAGGCCGACGCTCTATCCACTGAGCCAAAGCGGTTACGGCTCTGAGAGTCTTTTTAATGTTAAAAAAAGGGAGGCCCTGGAATCTCCTTATTAAATTAGATATAGTCTGGGACAGAGCTGAATCCTCATAGCAACCTTGAACCCAAGCTGCATCTTGGAGACCCTTCAGAGGAGAAGGACACGAGCCTTACCCTGGCAGGAACCCTTTTCTTGGTCTGCTTCCCGTGGCCCAGGAATGGAAACACCCATGAAGAAAAAGAATCAATGATATTTTACTTAAAATGACCTTCAACATTTGCATACCAGTAACTGCCACATAATTGTACTCTAAAACCTAAAAGAGATCTTCCCTCAAAAAAAAAAAAAAAGGGTATATTCATCCTTGAAGATGTGCGTCTTTTTGTGTGTGTAGATCACGTGTTAAAGCAAAAAGACGTTGCTTTCATCATCTTGTCAAGTCTTATGAAAAGCTTTCCTTAGATATTGGCGCCAGGTATTTAGTACAGAAAAATACATCCATCATTTCAGTCAGATCCATTTCTTCTTATAATCAGAGGTTCAAACTTTGCTTTGCAGAAAAAGTTAGCTGCTATGCCCGACCACACGGACGTGTCCCTGAGCCCGGAGGAGCGGGTCCGAGCCCTCAGCAAGCTTGGCTGTAACATCACCATCAGCGAGGATATCACCCCGCGCCGCTACTTCCGATCCGGAGTAGAGATGGAGAGGATGGCATCGGTGTACCTGGAAGAAGGAAACTTGGAAAATGCCTTTGTTCTGTATAATAAGTTTATAACGTAAGTCTTTGAACTGAGAGAATTGAAATATATCGACGTGATATTTTGGTGAGACGGTTTGGATGCCGGGAATGTTTTCGTGTTCAGACCAATTTTACAATCTCCAAAAACATTAAATGTGTAGGTTTTAAAATAACCAAGTAAATGTCCTCAGAGGCATCCATATCATGTCTGAAGCGTGGGGATGGGGAGAAGGTCAGGGATGTAATGAGGACTGAGATTCCCTCTCACTAGGCCAGCATGGTAATCTGCATGTCCCTGCCTTTAACACTCTTCTCAAGTAAAATTTCTTTGTTTCATGCCATTTTACCCCTGCAGGACTGCAAGCTTTATGAGAGCAGGAACCATAGTGCAGCTCTCGCTACAGCATCTAGAACAGTGATGGCAAACCTTTTGAGCTCGGCGTGTCAGCGTTTTGAAAAACCCTAACTTAACTCTGGTGCTATGTCACATATAGAAATTTTTTGATATTTGCAACCATATAAAACAAAGACTTATATTTTTGATATTTATTTTATATATTTAAATGCCATTTAACAAAGAAAAATCAACCAAAAAAATGAGTTCGCGTGTCACCTCTGACACGCGTGTCATAGGTTCGCTATCACTGATCTAGAACATGTCATTCACATTTTAAAAATTTGATTTGATGGGTTGAGTCCGGGGGATGAGTTAGCAATGGTAGAAGGATATGATTCCAGGATAGACTGTAACAGTCAGTTTGACATTGTAGTTATTAAAAAAAACACACACACACGACAACCAACACATACAATTTATTTAGCTGTGTAATAAGCTAAGTATAAAGGAATTTCCAAAATGTTCAGGGAAAGTGGCTATCTCAAAACAGCCAGTTGAAAATATCATACTTCTCATTAGAGAGATATTGTTAGTAACATATCCTAGTTTAAGACTTAACAGAAATGGGATTTGGATTTTCTTTACCAATTTGCCAGTTTACAGGTTGGGAAGATCTGTTAGCAATAGTGATTTAAGCTGAAACCCTTATTTTTGTTTTAATTAAATGTCACTTGTTGATTAATTTCACTAGTTCAGTTGGAGACTTAACCTGAGAACATTTGAGAAGTCGATGACTGGCAACCTTTGGTCCACCTGGCACAATTGTTTCTAGAAAGTTAAACAATAAATATTAAATTGGAGGTTATCAATTGTCATCGATAGCACATTTTCCCCCAAAATTTTAATTTCCTAACTACTACAGGTTACCAATTGGCAATATTTCTTTTTCACTTTCTGTTCAAATTTTGCACACATTTCTATGGAATTGAAAGTGTGTGGGAAAGGGAAAGGCCACTATACTCTCAGTTACTGACTAATCAGAATATATTAATCCTCCTCGGTCATTACCCATGTGGTAATTTGTAGTTCACTTACCTTCTCTGGGCTTTAATTCCTCATCTACAAATGACTTGAGGATGAATGTCTCTGAGGTCTCTTCAACTCGAAATGTTTGTTCTATTTAAAAAGACCTAGGCAACTAACAATTTATGTCGCCTCTTAAAGCCTTAATTCTCATTTGAGAAATGAGAGTTATAATACCATTCCAGGTTACCTGTAGGTGAAATGACGAATGCATGCATGCTTTGTAAACAACAGAATGTGAGTAATCATATTAGCTGATCAAAAATAGTATCTATAGCCCATCACAATCCATGAAGGGTTATTCATTCATTTAACAAATATTTACTGAGCACTTATTATGAGCTGTACACTATTGTCCAGGCTGGGGATACATCAGTAAGAAAATCCAATGGAAACAATATCTGGTGGAAGCATTACTTGTAGTTTACTGTATCTGGAAGTGATGTACCTGGTTGGCTTTAAGGATTTGCCTTTACTTCTGCTGTCCCCGGTTCCTCAAAAAGGAACAAGAAAAATAATTACCTCCTAATTAGCACCTAATCCACTAGGGATTCTAGCTGTTATTTCTCTTGGTTACAAATTTTCAGTTAAGAGTTTTTGATATATCCACCATGACACTACTGAATCACCAGTGGTCTTTTTTAAAAAATATATTTTATTGATTTTTTACAGAGAGGAAGGGAGAGGGATAGAGAGTCAGAAACATCAATGAGAGAGAAACATCCATCAGCTGCCTCCTGCACGCCCCCTACTGGGGATGTGCCCGCAATCGAACCTGGAACCCTTCAGTCCGCAGGCCGATGCTCTATCCACTGAGCCAAACAGGTCAGGGCACCAGTGGTCTTTTGTCTTTTTCAATCATGAGAAGGGATTATATTGATCTTTCCAAACTCTTACATTTTTACATGATACTCTGTGTTGCCAGCTTCACACGTAAGTATGATGGTGCTGTGGTGGGATTAAGTAGCCAGAACCCTGAGAAAGACCAAGTGACCTGGTCTATTTAGGGATCATCCTGACCCTCTTAACCTCAGGGCTTAGTTTACTGAGCTTAACACTCCGGTGAAGCCAAAATCATACTCAATGCCATTAGGCAGGTGAAATGAATATAGGTTAAATAATACTTTATTTAGCATGTCCTTTTTGAAAGGGAGGCTCATTCTCATAGTAAAATGATCATTGATCTTTTTCTGTCAGATAATGCTGAGACGTGCTTTCTCCTTCTCTAGCTTGTTCGTAGAGAAGCTTCCCAGCCATCGAGATTACCAGCAATGTGCAGTCCCCGAAAAGCAGGACATTATGAAGGTATGGTGGGGTCGATTCTCCCCTGCGGCATCAAATGTCCCACAAGTATCCATTACTGGTTCACACCCCCTTCCTTTCCTCCTCTGACTCATCCTCTTGAGAGTTTAAGCACCAAGATTCATTCCATTAGCCATGACATTTCGATTTCTTCTTCGACCTTTAATCATCATTTCTGAGCCAGGGTGGGATGTCTAATTGAAACTGAAGTGGAGGGAAGGGGAAGAAAAGAAACAGATCAAGAATGTGCTCAGTCACTTTCTGGCGTGAAGAAGAAATTATTTCACGGTTTCTCCCAGAGATTGACAGAATGGCTATCTATTTCTCCATACTTGAGACAGTCTGGCTGGGTGTAATTATTCCATGCAGTCCTCAATCTCCAAACTTTGAAAAGCATTGAGTATTAAGGTGCTAGCCTAATAGGTAATAAAGGGTTTAGGGGGTAGCCTGAAATATTCTTAAGGAAAAGGCAGATTGTTGAAATGTATTTATTCCTCATCAACATTTATAACATATAGTTTCAAATATCTTTACCTGAGATTGAATCCTTTTAAAGTAATATTTAAAATATCTTTTTCATGTATTAGTCTTAAATAGTTTGGGTTGCTTTTCTATGAAGGAAGATAAACAATGTAGACAAAGCCAATCACAGCATGAAATGTGAAATAACTCTCCAAAGGTATTTTACCAGATAGTGGAATAAAGGCTCTCTTACCAGTTACATAGAGCCTGAGGCTGCCTGTAAGCAGAACCCAAATTTTGTCAAATGGTCATCACTATTTTAAAATTTTTCTTTGCATACTTATCTGAAGGATCATTCATTTCCATGCTATTGTGTAACATTTCCCCTCAATTCTGTTGTTCATTCAACCTCAGAGGGTTCTGTATGGAAACCAAGTTCCCAGGCTGCCAATGTGACTCATTTACTCTAATTTGGGGTTATTCTTGTTTTTGCTTGTAGGCAAAATTCTTCAAAAGCATGTCTTTATGCTTGTTGGATGAATGGATGGATGGATGGATGGATGGATGGATGGATGGATGACAAAAGATTATGAGAACAGAAGTTTAGTGGGAGAGCCTGGAGATTCGAGTTCTAGTCATAGGGGGCAAGCCTTTTAATTTCTCTAGGCCTTTGTTTCCTCATCTCTAAAGAGAGGGGTGGGGGATTGTGCTTGGACTATGTCAGGTTTCTCAGCCATTAAGAGTCACTGGGAAGTTGTTTGAGATCCAGATTCCCCAACCCTTTCCTTTTCAATAAAGATCTGGCTCCGGTAAATCTGGTTTAGACCTGGGAATCTATTTTTATGGAGAGTTCCTCAGTGCATTTTATGGTCTGTCAAACCTAGGAGCACTTATCTACCATGTTCTTCAGTGTCCCTTCGGAGCATGGTGACATATCTTTACATACTGTGGAATGTGAAGTTGCAAACCCACTGCCTCAAAATGGGTCTCTATCCAAACAAAATGCAGATAAGCATTGCAGAGGGGTCCATTTCTCCCCTCCCCTACTGAGGAGTTACATTTTGGAACCTAGAAAAGAGATTTATTTTCCACCACCATCTTTGGTTACTTGTGTTTTGATTTCTAATTCACATTCCAGCTGTTTTTCTTTCTCAGCTGATGATCTGAAAGACTATACTGAAAACCACACTAATCAATATGTATATATATTTTTAAAAGAAACTGAAGGAGATTGCATTTCCAAGGACAGATGAATTGAAAAAGGACCTTTTAAAGAAATATAACGTAGAATACCAAGACCATATGCAAAGCAAAGTAAGTCCAATAAATTGGTACATTTATTTCATGCCTTTTCTGTGCAAATATACTTTTGAATTTCATTTTTATATGAGTTTTTAAATGTCATATGCATTTGATTAAAAATTAAAGATGCAGTGATGTAACGCCAATAAAAAATTCATGTTGATTTCCGGGTTAAGCACTTGCACCAAAGATGTGGTATTTTCATTTCCCTCCAACATCTAATAAAGTGATGCATTAGAAAATAGATTTCCTACAGAGATTTTAAAAGAGCTTTTTGATCAACTCTTGCCAATGTAACCTTGAGCCAGCTGACTGCTCTTTGATGATGAATGGAGGTAATAGGTGCTAGGAAGAGCAAGTATATGGTTTCTGATGTATCTAATTTGTAGACCTTGGAAATGTGAATTAGATTCTTATATATTGCAGTCAGTACTTCACTGAGGTAGAATTATAATTGTATGAGTGAAATATAATCATATCACCAAGGGATGATGGCATCTGGGTTCTTATTAAATAAAGAGTGAAAATGATAATGAGACTGAAAGGCTTTGAAAGAAGACATTGGCCAGTTTATAGGAGACCCAAGTTGAAAACATGAATTCTTGATGTTTTCAGCTTTCTTATAAAGATTGTTTTGCCTTTTCTGTTCATGTATTTATATGCTCTGGGAGTCATCACCTTTGCTGACTCTCACTTCAGTTAGTCTGAACACGGTCACAGAACTTCCCTACGTTCTTTGAGCATAGCCAGAGGTGAGGTTTGAGTAATGTGTGTGTTTTTTAAAAATATATTTTATTGATTTTTTACAGAGAGGAAGGGAGAGGGATAGAGAGTTAGAAACGTCAATGAGAGAGAAACATTGATCAGCTGCCTCCTGCACACCTCCTACTGGGGATTTGCCCGCAACCAAGGTACATGCCCTTGACCGGAATCGAACCTGGGACCCTTCAGTCTGCAGGCCAACACTCTATCCACTGAGCCAAACCGGTTAGGGCTTGAGTGATGTTTTTGACTAAGTGACAGAGAAAATGTTGAAATCAGAAGATTCCTGCAGGTGTGGATATTGATGACTTGATTGGATTTGAACTATGAAAGATAAAATGGATTCTGGAGGCTCAGACAAAGCAACAACAAGGGGAAAAAAGCCCAGTTAAGTCTCCTTCCATAGTCAGCAATGCGTCTGGTTGTCCCCTCCAGATTTCCTTGGGAGAAACAGCCTCAGCAGCTGTTGCCCGGTCTGGCTTCACAGTCCACAGTAGTAGCATCCCACGTGTATGACATGTAGAAATCTCCTTTATGCCTAGGAGAGATGAACAGACACACCGGTGAGTCCTGGCTACAGACAGCACCAGTATTACCTGGGAGTAGTCAGAAATGCAGAATCTTCGGCCCCACCCAAGCCTGCTGAATCAGAATCTGCCCCATAACAAGTATATGGTTTCTATGTGGGGCTGTAAGCTGTGCCCTCCCCCCACCCCCCCCAACTACCTTACAGTAGCTCCCAAAGTCTATTTTCACAATTATTTGGGGGAACTTCTTTTTAAAAATTATATTCTTACCTAATAGTACCTGGATATTTTTGATAAGACGGGAACTTGGGAATCTTCATTTTAAACAAAAGTGCAGGTTTGTTGTACTAGAGATGATTGGACCGCATTTTGAGAATTGTTTTTTATTGATCCCCCTTCTCTGTAAAGTTCCAGCAGTGTGAGTCCTGGAGTCACGTGCAAAGGGTTCTAGGGCAGCCTGTCCCACAGCACGGCCTGCGATGATGGGAGTGCTCTGTGGAACTCGCTGGCGGGGGAGACACTAGCCACATGGTACTCAATTCCTAGCAGGACTGAGGAATTGCATTTCTAATTTCATTTCATTTTAATATATTTAAATTGAAATAGCCACCTATGGCTAGTGGCTCCTATATTAGCCACTGCAGTCTGGGGTGATATAACCACTTCTGAGATACTTTGTTACTCAGGGTTTGGTGAGGCAGGCTGAGCAAAGCATCCTGACCTTGACTCTCTAATACTTAAAAGCACAGGGGAATGGAGGGAAGTTGACTGTCATGGCCTGTCTCTGGTAAAATATGAGTGGATTTAGAACTGCTGCCCGAATCAGGTTAAGGGGCTTTGGCTAGGACGTTATATATTTTCCTCACTGTCACACGAGTGTCCCTGCGGGCAGATGGCAGTATCTCGCTGTGTCTCTGTCTGCTGGAAGATTGAATGTCTAATCCCAGGGTGATGTTCTTGCCTTGGAAACTAACCTTTTGCTCTGGCAACCACATTTCTTTTAAGAACAAATATAGAGCCGAATTTCTCAAAAAACTGGAGCATCAGCGATTGATAGAGGCCGAAAGGAAGCGGATCGCTCAGATGCGCCAGCAGCAACTGGAAACGGAGCAGTTTCTGTTTTTCGAAGATCAACTCAAGAAGCAAGAATTAGCCCGAGGTCAGATGCGAAGCCAGGAAACCCCAGCGCTGTCGGAGCAGATTGATGGCAGCGCCTTGTCCTGCTTTCCCAAACACCAGAACAATTCCCTGCTGAACGTATTTGCCGACCAACCCAATAAAAGTGATGCCACCAATTATGCCAGCCACTCTCCTCCGGTCAACAGGGCCTTAAAGCCAGCTGCTACCCTCAGTGCTGTTCAGAGTAAGTGTGAAATGGGCCCCTGAAAGACATTGAATCTCTTCTAACGGGACCGTATTTCTGGAACATCTGGGAGGGTGTTCATTTCATTATCAATCGTGGTAGGACCCCCTCCATCATATGTATGCGTAGACAGAGCTAATCCTTCTGTACCATGTGGCTTGTACTATATGGAACCTGAAAATTCAGGATTTGCCCCTGAAAGAGCAGAGACTCAAATACACGGGACTGTATTCGGTCACGGTACAGAGAGTCTAAAAGAGAAGAATTCCAAGCATTATTTTTTTTCTTTCATGTATTTTATCAAAGAAACACGTGAATCTTAAACACTGTATACTGGGGATGAAAGATGTTGAGAAACTTGTTTGTCCAGAACTTTGCTTGGCAGTTTGAATGTAAATGGTTAGCCTTGCCCTGGGCCAGGAAGATCTCGTGCGCATGGGGCGTTAGCCTCCAGATGGATTATGGGTTTCTGCCAACAATTAGTGCTGCTGAGCGCTGCTATGTCTGTACTGGCAAGCTTTCAGGAACAAATGAGGAGTTCTTCCCAGCAGACACTGATTG